TTGACTTTCTTTCACGCTCGTCCCATTAGCATTCACCAATGATGTGCACCGGGTGATCAGTCAGGTTGTGCGCTGCAGGTATCTCTGCTGTCCAGTCACAGCAGCTGCAGTGATCAGCGCGCTGTGTGCCTCATTACTGCCGCTGCAGCTCCACGTTCGAACCTGCAACTCGGACCAAATTAAAACCTCCCTCAGAAAAAGCCGCATGTGGTTTCCTCCTCCTGCCTCTCAGCACTGCAATGAAGGAATTTCCTCGTTTGTACTGAAATCTCTGCGCTCACAGAAATGAGGTCTTGGCCTGAGATTTCCCCGCGCTAACTGCACAACAGGAAGACCGGACCGGTCGATTCTCACCTGCATCATCTTCACCTTAGAAAAAAGAAAGTCGTACTTTTTTGCCTCTCGGACAGGACACCAACTGACTGCTGGCTGCAAAATGGATAATAATGCTGGAAATTCGGAAAAATCTCACCTCATAGACGAGAAGAATGCCAAGACATATTCACTAAAACTGCAAAGGTGGGGGAATGCTTTGCTTCATATCACTGCAGCTGCATGAAGAATAATACCACATGTAGGACGAAGTTATGTGAACACATTTAGTCATTTTGGGGCATAAACTGTGTATAAAATGGGGGGGCGACAACAATTCTTTGTTTGCTGACACTTAAAGAAAAATGCAAGTAAGCAGATTTTGTGATTTTTAATAAAAAAAACTCAAAATAGTATTTTTTAAATTATAATTTTAAGATAGATGCAGGAAGAATCCACTATTGTTGCACATTATCTTATAAACGTGCGTAATGAAGGCGCACTGAGAGTGGTTGTTATAGTGCACGTTGAGCAGGCTGTGGCTCTCACGGGTTGTTTTATTGAATGAACAAATTCATTTCCATGCTTGGCTTGTTTTTGGACAGCCTGTGACAAATGGCCCCGGGGCCAGTTCACTGAGCAATGCTAAAAACTCATCATCTGTCATTAGCAGAGGCTCCAGCCTGCAATCTCTCTCTCTCACACACACACACACACACACACACACACACACACACACACACACACACAC